GCACCGACGCCGTCGACCTGTCCCACGCCCAGCAGGCGCTCGGCAGGAAGGACCCCCCTCCCCTTTCTCGCTCAGTCCTTCTGGAGCCTCGGTCTTATTAGGGAAGCAGGTTGCGACGCCCCCGCCCAGTGCCCATGCGGTGTCCCGGAGAACGACCTCAGGCACAGGCCCCTGGAATGCAGCGCGCCAGCCCCCCTTCGAGACGAGCGTCTGGAACCTGACGACCTGGGTGCTCTGAGTCGCCCTGAGGCCTTCGCCGAATGTGCTGGTTTTCCTGAGCCCCCCCCTTCCATGGTTCCCAGGCTTCTGAGTCTTGGCTTTTTTTGTTGTTTTGAGTTTTGGTCCGCCGAGGGCCTTTCGCCCGAAGAAGCTGGTGAGGGGGAGGTGTATGTGGGTGGCGGGCCTGCGGGGAGCGCCCCCCCCCCCCCCCCCCCCTCCTCGGACCTCGCCCCGGCAGCTGAGTTGTTTTGTTATCGTGCCTTGCGGCAGCCAAGTTCAAAGGCACAGCAAGAATGCGTTCGGAGTTCGAGGGGGTCATAGACTTCCGCGACGCGCCCCGTATTGCCCGCAGGAAGCATATGGCTGATGGTTGAGGCCCCCGTGCTAAGCGGGGCGAAGCCAGTCGTGGCGGAAGTTCCAGGGTAGATAAGGTCCAAGCCCGCCAGAAAGTCAGCGAGTTCGGGCCCCTTCTTTTCGGATCGCTGGTGGCGCGCCGCAGGGAATTCAGAAGCCGACCGCGTGGCCAAGATGGCTGCTAATCTTCAGAGCGTGAATTACCTACCCCGTTTCCGCTTCCAGGCAAAACCGAGTCATGCCACGCGCCTCCCCGTCGAGCGGCCTGACCAGTGCGGGCCGTAGTTTGGTATCGCTTGGTAGCTCTTGGAAGTGGTCAAAAGCGAGGTAGGTTCGTTTGCCCCTTCAATCTCCTCCCCAAATCCGCGAGGCTCGCCCTCATAATAAAAAGCGGTTCCTAAAGCATGCTTCGAAGGCCCTCTCTCGGTTGCCCCCAGTGGCCCCCAGGGCGGGGGGGCAGAGGGCTAGAAGGCCCCAGTCCTCGCCACCTACCCCGCGGTGGGAGCAGCATCAATCTCGTCATCGTGGCAAGGCAGAGCCATATCGAGCGGGGGCCCTACTGGGCGTGGGGCTGCGGCGGCCCCTCCCCCCCAGGGGCCCCTCGGCCCGCCCGTGCTGCCCACTCTTGGCGCCGCCAGAGAATCCGATGGTTCTGCGTGGTCTGTCACTAGAGATGCATCAACGAGGCCTCCTTTAAGGTCAGAGAGCGCGGGCCGCACCCAGGCAACGCGACAGGCCTGGCCAAGCTTGCCATCCAGCCCAATGGACGCCATATTTTTGTTTTTGATAAGATTGAGGACGATTCGTTAGCCCTCGGTGTGGCAAGTACACTGGACGTACGTTGAAGGGGCTTCACCGGCGATGCCTCAACCAATTCGACTCTGCCCTCAGCAGAAGTGCGTGGCAAGTTTAGTGTGAAGGGAGGTGCCCCAAAGGCCCCAAGAGGAGCCAAGTGGATTTCAAAACCCCCATTCTAATTGCTATGGCTTGCCCAAGTGCAGCCTCGCAAGCGCTCGAGCCGCCATGGCGCGTGGAGTCGAATCCTTTCCTGAGGCCATGCGAAGGTCCTCCTCCTCCTCCGCCGCCTCTTCCTCCTTCACGTGTCCTCCTAATCCTTCTCCTCCCCCTCCTGGACGGAGGGAGCTTCGTCAACGTCAGGACGTGGGGGGGTTGGTTTTCTGGGACTTCGGCAAGCGGCGGATCGGATATGGACATGTTCGGGCCTCCGGGGGCCCAACGTACCGATAACCACCGCCACCAGGGGTCCCCGGGCCTCGGTCCCCCAGGCGGCGAGCACGATTAGGGAAACGCCCGCCTGGCATCGGAAGGGAGCGGCTGGATTCGCTTCGAAATCCAGGTCCGATCGCACCCCAGGAGGGCCGCATGAGTCCTGAGTTGCTTTTCCGTTCTGAGTTTGCCAGAGCCCCGCAAGGAGCCCAGGGGCGGGCAAAAGACGCGGCTCGGGGTGGAGAACTGGTCCGGGGGATGGCCTTAGGGTCCAGGACCCGTTTCCCTCATGACCCGACCCGCGCTCTTCATGGCAAGTTCTCCCCTCCGACTTGGCGAAGGGGGATCTCGTCTGTCTTGTATGGTGAGCGAACAACATATCCGCATCCGCGGCTTCGCGGGCCTGGCCCCAAGGCCAAGACCCAGCGGATCCGCGGGATCGCGTCCCGGAATCCAGACCGCAGGGGCGCGGATATGTTCGCCGCTCGTGACTAAAACTTGTTCTCTTCCGTGTGTCTGGCGCGGGCTCGCCGCGGCTTCGTAGCGAACTCGACACGGGCTCGGCGTGGTTTCGACGTGGACTCAACGCGGAATCGACGTCCGACGTTCGACGTGGATCGCCAGCGGTTCCTCCGTCCATTGAGAGGGGGGCGTTGGTCAACTCTTTCCCCCCTCCCCATTTCAAGGGGGTATGTCTTTTACCCCTCCGCGCCGCCCGCTCCTCCGCCCCCGCGATCGCCAGCGCCGCGAGCAGACGAACATGCATGCTGCGCCGAGCGATCCGCAGCCGAGAACGCGAGGCGGGGCTGAGGCCACCGAGTGCGAATGAGGCCGCCCTCCATCCGTGCAGGTGCTGGAGTGCGGAGGAAGCTCCCCTATAAGAGCTCAGAGCCTGAGTTTGAGAAGCAGCCGCCCACCATCTGACATCAAGAGGTTTCGAATGGCCCGCGTTGTCAGGAACCTTCGAGCACAGATGCACTTCGATACTGAGAGCTTGGCCTGGGGTAGCAAGCCTCCCTCCATACTTTGCACACTACTCTTGCACAAGTTATCCCTGCTCTCGCCGCGCGTGTGCTGCACCCCGTGTGTGCGGAGTGTCATGCCGCCCTCCTTGTAGCGGGTGCTTGACTGGCCCAGCCACAAGGAAAAGGATGAAGAGGAGGAGGAGGAGGAGGAGGAGGAGGTGGATGACGGGGGAGGAGGAAGAGGGGGAAGGAGGAGGAGAAGGGGGAGGAGGAGGAGGAGGAGGAGGATGAGGAGGAGGAGGAGGAGGAGGAGGAGGAGGGGGAGGAGGAGCGAGGAGGAGGGGGAGGAGGAGGGGGAGGAGGAGGATGCGCTGCCCTTAGCGGGGAGCCACGGAGCCCTTACAAGAGCTATTGTTTCTAGAACATTAGCCGGCTTGCCAGCGAACGCCAAGCGCACCAGGAAGTGTCACCGCGCGTGGATGTGGCATGTTCTCGCTACAGGGCGCCATGACTTCTGTATACATGCCCGAGTGACGCATCACACGTGGATAATTGACAGTCGGTTCTCTCACGCACCCGCTTTTGGGTCTCTTGGGTTTTCCTTGGACGCTCCCGGATGCTCGGCCTCGGAGTGTGGCCGTAGTCTGGCAATTGGCGGCACCCCTCCTCACCCTCGGGAACTGGTGGCGTCATGGTGGTCAGGCTTCGAGGGAAGGAACAGGATCACCATGATCAAGATGTCGCTGGATCTCGTTCACGCCCGATTTCGGTCATGGTCCATGCCGCCGCCGATTCGCGATTATGATCCGTGAACTAAAGAGGACCAAGATGGGCGATGACCAAGGTCGATCCCGACGTTTCCGCGTCCAGCCTTTATCATGAACCCCGTGTTCTATCCCTCCATGTTTGCCCGGCGCAGTGGGGGGTCCGCCGTCCGCCCCGACAGGCTATTTGGTCGGATCTCCCGTCGTGATCGGATTGGGGCGATCGGCGATCGGCGACCGATCGTGATCTTCCTCGTCCCAGAGCGCCCTCAGAGCGTTCTGGGACACCCTCAGAGCGGCCGCGGCGCCCGAAACGTCCTCGAGCCTGGGTGGCTCGCAGGGATCCCCGTGTTCGGGAGCCTTGAGACGGGAGTCGAGGCAAACAGGGGTCAGCCAGAGCGCTGGAACTAGCAGGATCCTGCAGGATCTTGCAGGATCCTCCAAGGCCTGACTGACCCGGGTTCGGATTGACCCGGGTCAGTAGAGCCCCGAGAAACGACGACGGCGAGGTCGGCGAGGCCGACGGTGACGACGGTAAGGCCGACGACGACGACGACGAGGCCGACGACAATGATCACGACGACGACGACGACGTCGACGTCGACCCGGTTTGTCCTCCTCGCGCAGTTCGTTGCAGGCTTGCCTTCCACCCGTGGAGGAGCCTCGTGCCCTGGGCGGCGAGGGGACGGGTCAGGCGTGCGACACCGTCTCTTCGCTCTGCCACCCAGCGGCCCTGGCGACAGCGCCGCGCTGCGACGGCTTGGCGGACCGCCTGAAGGGGACGCGCTCCCTCGCTCTCGTCTCCCCACCCTCTCCCCCCCCTCCTCCTCTCCTTGCACCTTCCCTTCCCCCCTCCCTCCCTCTGGCCCTCGCTTCCCTCTCTCTCCCTCTCTCTCTCTTCCTCCTGCTCCTCACTCCCTCCTTCCCTCCCTCCCTCCCTCCCCCCCCCACCTCCTCCTCCTCCGCCGGTGGGTACCCTCTCGCCCTCTGCAGGGCTGTACGTGCCTTTCATCTGCCAGCTTGTGGTCTTGTGGCTTCCCTCCTTTTCCCCCTGCTCTTGCCCCTTGATGCATGTTGACTGTGGTGGCACCTTGCAGCAGGTGTGGCTCTCCTACGATGTCCTTCCCCCTTGATCCTCAGCTCTTCCTCCCTCCTCCTCCTCCTCCTCCCTCCTCCTCCTCCTCCTCCTCCCTCCTCCTCCTCCTCCTCCTCCTCCTCCTCCTCCTCCTCTCCTCTCCGAGAGTCCCCCTCCTGCTCCTCTTCTTTCTTACTCTGGCCATACATAAGCATCGAGGCTGTTGCGTACTTGCTCCTCCTCCTCCTCCTCCCCCTCCTTCTCCTCCTCCTCCTCTCCTCTCCCTCCTTCCTTCGCTCCCCCTCCGAATCCCCCTCTCCTCCTCCTCCTCCTCGTCCTCCTCATCCTCCTCCTCCTCCTCTCAGCGGGCCCCGCCCGGGCGGTCATTCGCGCGAGGACACGGTGGCGTCAGCGGCTGCCACCTCCGGGTCCAATGGCGGCAAGGCTCCGCCTCCGCCCGCCCGGAGGAGACGAGGGGGCAGAGCGAGGAGGAGGGGGTCGCCTTCCTTGCCCCTCTCTATCTCTCTTGCCTCTCTCTCCCTCTCTGTTTCTCTCTTCCTCTCTCGTCATCTCTCTTATGTTGTTTCTGTTGGTGTTTGGTTTATACATTGAGTAGGGCCGACTGTCAGAGAGTGCCTTCCTATGCAAAAAAGGGACGTCAAGGTGGTCAAACGCGTCGCCGGTTAAGCCGACGAAGATGTGCAAAGTCCAACCGTTCGCTTACGTCCAAAGGTTTGGCTTGACGCAGGGTACGGTGTGTCAATTTCAGCTTGACCGAACAGGTTGATTGCGCTTCTTGACGTCCGTTTGGGGCGTTCTGCAGACCTGACCCCCCAGCCCTACTCAACATTTACACATCAGCAATACACTTATAGCATAAGGCCGCGTGTATACACGTAACGGCCTGCGGCCCATCCCGCCACCGCGCTGGGCTTGTGGGTCAGAGGCCTCAGGGACTCGTCTTGTGTGCAAATTTGGGGAGCAGTTGTTGGGCCTCTTGGGAGCCTCTTGGGGCCTCCTGGGAGCGTCTTGGGGCCGAAGGCTTGAAATGTTCGTTCGGGTTCCCCCTGTGGGCCTCCTCTTTAGGGCCGTCCTGGGGCCGTCTTGGGGGCTTCTTGGGCCCTCTTCGGGCCCCCTTGGGCGGTCTTGGAGCCCTCTTGGGGCCCTCTTGGGCCGTCTTGGGGCGATCTTGGGGGCCTCTGGGGCCGTCTTGGACGTTGTACAAGTATATAAGTACGTCTTGGGGGGCTCTGGGGCCTCTGGGGCCCAGGAGGCAAATATGCTAAAAGTAGATTGTTCCTTAGGGAATGGAGCGATGTTTGCATCTTGGGGCCCTCTTGAGAGCCTCTTGGAGCGTCTTGGAGGCCTCTTGGGCCGTCAAGAGGCGCTCCTTGGCCGTCTTGGGCGCTTGGTGAGGGGCTCCGCGAAGTTCTCCAGGTCGTTTGGGGCGTTGCATACGTCGTGGAGGCCCATGTGGAACACCCAAGGAGGGCCTGAGAGCGCCCGGGAGCGCCCGGGAACTTTGTGGTCAAGGCCCTTAAGGAACTACAATCCTGGTTGCAGCAGCAGCACAGCAGTGAGCCTTGGGAAACTCCACTTCGTGCCAGAGGCGCGGCGGTGCGGATATATCATGGAAAAGAGAGAGAGAGAGAGAGAGAGAGAGAGAGAGAGAGAGAGCGAGAGAGAGCGAGAGAGAGAGGAAGAGAGAGAGAGAGAGCGGGAGAGAGAAAAAGAGAGCGAGAGAGCGATACAGAGCGCGAGAGAAAGACAAGAAGGAGAGAGACAGAGGAATAGCAGAGGAATAACGTATTCAGGTCGTAATAAGGCTGCTAAGAGAAATGCCATCCTCACATTTAATCAAACGCGCAGGAAACAGAGGCAGCCAACATAATATGTGTGACATGATGACTGGTAACCAAGTCCTACGCATCATACCAAGAATGATCATGCTCCTATGAGGAACTCTTGAAACACATGAGCTGCGGCGCCTCCAGCGCCGCCCCTGGCGGGCTCCGCACGCCAGGCAGGGGGGGGGGGGCTCGGCGCCGATCCAGGAAATCAGCGCAGACCTCCGAATGTTCCATTTTTAATAAGCAGAGTGAGGGGGCTGAACGGTCATTCATTGTGCCTGGGTGCGTGGCCTACGTGCGGATCCGTGGCGCGGATTCTGCTTGTTGCGTTGTTATTGTTGTTGTTGTTGGTGGTGGTGTTGTTGTTGTTGCTGCTGTTGTTGTTGTTGAACATTATTACTTCTAAAGAATAATTATTGTTGGGGCCCCTGGTGCACGACCCCCCCGCCGCGCCTAGGCCGCAGCCTCATTTTCATCATTTTCGTGAGGAAGTCTCAGGCAAAACGGGGGAGTCCGGATCCGGTTGTGTTGTTACGATCGGTTTTCCCTTGCAAAAAATAAGCTAAAGTGGACATTTCTTGTTCTAACATAACCAAACTTCAAGAATCCCTTGCAAAAAATAAGGTAAAGTGGACATTCGCGCGCGCAAGACGAAATCCTTCCAAAACCTTAGTTTTCGTAGCGATTTTAACATAAAAACATCAAAAAACCAATGGTTTTTCAAAAAAAAAATGTCAAAATTTCATCCCGCGCGCTCTTGCGGATTCGTAGGAAACCCAACACTTTTTAAACATTTCTGTCAAACGGGCTTTTGCGAGCAACTTTTTCGAACTTCTGCAACAACGGTTGCGCACCTGCCAGGGCCATCATCCCTGTCAAATAATACCATGCGGGACACATTCGTTTTTTCTTCGCGCGCGCACGCCGTCGTCGTCGGCCGCGGGGCCCTGAATAGTAGCCACGGTCGTCCGCATGCCACGAAGTGAAGTGTCCGAACGTCATAGGGCGGGAAGCTGGGTGTGGGTGGTGGCGAAGAGTCGTTTGGAAATTTGGTAGAGCTTGAACCGCCCCCCCCACAAGGTGGGGGTATTGCCCGCCTCTTATGAAAACCCTAGCACTGGTGAGAACGGTGTGTCCCCACGTGCTAGTAATTGTTGTTGTTGTTGTTGTTGTTGTTGTTGTTGTTGTTTGTTGTTTGTTGTTTGTTGTTTGTTGTTTGTTGTTTGTTGAGTGTTGTTTGTTGTTTGTTGTTTGTTGTTTGTTGTTTGTTGTTTGTTGTTTGTTGTTTGTTGTTTGTTGTTTGTTGTTGTTGTTGTTGGTCTTGTTGCTGTTGTTGAACACTCACTTCTGAAGACTAATTATTGTTGATCCCCCCCGTCCGGTGCATACTGTTTTTTCTCGATTGCAGTGCCCTTCCAGGGGCTCGTACCCTGCCTGGCCCCCGGGGTACAACAACAACGGCTCCCGCCTGAGACTTCCTCACAATTTAGCCAGGACCCCCGCTCCCGCCCGAGACTGCATTTTAGTCAGGAATCGCGCTCTCGCTTAGGACTTCCTCGCGAGTTATTCAGGAGTCGCTCTCCCGGCGCTCTGGAGTCGCGCTCTCGCTGGAGATTTCCTTGCAATGTATTGAAGAATAGCGTCCTTGCGTTGGACACTCTTGCAATTTACTCAAGCGCCGCGCTCCCGACACCCAGGCACCCAGGAATCGCGCTCACGTTAGGGACTCCCTCACAGATTACCAAGGAATCGGGATCTGGCTGCCCTTCGTGGCCCCCTCGCTTTGTTTCGTGGCCCCGTTGCAGCCCTTCATGGCCCCCTCGCTGCCCTTCGTGGCCCCGTTGCAGCCCCTCGTGGCCTCCTCGCTGCCCTTCGTGGCCCCGTAGCAGCCCTTCGTGGCCCCCTCGCTTTGTTTCGTGGCCCCATTGTAGCCCTTCGTGGCCCCCTCGCTGCCCTTCGTGGCCCTTTCGCAGCCCTTCGTGGCCCCGTTGCAGCCCTTCGCGGCCCCCTCGCTGCCCTTCGTGGCCCCCTCGCTGCTTTTCGTGGCCCCATATATGTATGCCCTTCGTGGCTGCCGTTCGTTCGCGCCCGTCGTGGCTTCATATGCATGCCCTTCGTGGCCCCGCTGTCGCCCTTCGTGGCCCCCTCGCTGCTCTTCCTGGCCCCGTTGCTGCCCTCACTGGCCCCGTCCTTGCCCTCCAGTGTACGTACATATGCCCTTCGTGGCCCCCGTTCGTTCGCGCCCGTTGTGGCCCCATATGCATGCCCTTCGTGTCCCCGCTGTCGCCCTTCGTGGCCTACTTCGCGTTCTTGTGGGTCTGCTGTCGTTTTCTCTTGCTCTCGCTTTCGCTCGTCGTCGACGCCGTCGTCGTTGTCGCCGTCGTCGTCGACGTCGTCGTCGTCGTCGTCGTGGTCGGTCCCCTGTCCGTCCCTCTTGGGGTCGGGTCGACGGTCTGCGGCCGCCCCGCCGATCAGCGTTGCCGCTGGCCAGGCCGACGGTCCGAGGCCGCCCCGCCGCTTGCCGGGGCCCGGCCTGCAGGGAAGAAAGGTACACCCCCCCCGTAAAAGGGGCTCGATCGAAGACGAAGAGGGCGGGTATCGAGGGTTTGGGAAATACGCGTTATTGGATTCTCGAGCAGATAAGGGCGAACAGTCTTAAATTGATTGTTGTTGTTATTGTTGTTGTGGTTTGTTGTCGTCGTCCCCCCCGCGACCCGGCCCGCGACCCACCCGCGACCAACCCCGCGACCCACCCGCGACCCACCCCGCGACCCGCTCGCCACCCACCCGCGACCCACCCGCGAGCTGGCCCGCGACACACCCGAGACACACCACCGACCCATTCGCGACCCCCTTGCGACCCAACCCGCGACCCACCTACAATGTTTTAACAACAAATCGGCGTTTTCGGCTGTCTTGTTGCATATCTTGAATTTTTTGCGCCTGCGGCGGGCTTCTTTAGAGCCTCGCAGACTGCAGACGTCCCCGCCGCCCCCTCACTCTTATCCGCAACTGCGGGGGGCTACGTATTTTGTTCTTCGCAAGCCGTGCTTGTCCACCTCTTTATCTCCCGAAGGGTGGTCTTGTAGCAATCCTGGACTGCTCACTGCTTTTCGCTGTGCTGTCACGTTTTGCAACGGTCTGCACTTTTCCACTGTCCGCCCAGGGCCCCACGGTTTCCCCAGGCGCTCGATTTCGAAATTAGTTCCCCCGTCCATGGTCATGGTGTTGTCTCTCTTGGCTCCCATTATCCTCATGATTCTCATATTCGGCTTCAGATCTGAGTTAAGCCCGCTGACATCTGTTTCCTCATCTCACTTACTTTGTCGTTCTTCCTCTGTTGGTCCTCTTCCCCTTCCGCCCCCCAACCCCACCCCCCTCCTCTGATGATGCGGTCCACCGTTCCACTCGTGTCGGTCTTTCTCCTGGCTCCGAAAACTGCAATTCTGGTGAGATCGGGAGGCCCCTGGGGCAACGGCGCAGCAATCCTCTGGAGGTGGGTACCTTGCCCAGTCCCACATTCAGAGGCAATCCGGGTGTGAAAGACGGTCTCTTTGACCTTCCGACCCCATCTCTGGGACAGTTGTTGCGTCGTGCGTCGCCGTCTTCCAGGTCCCATGGCCCGAACCCGGCCCCCAGAGGCCAAGGACTAGAGACATGCCAGCCGTCGTGATCTGGACCCCTGCGCCCCTCGAGCTCTCGGCCTCTGCCAGGGGGGAGAGGCTCGCCTTCCTGGGAGCGCCTCCTCGCGCCCTCCTCCCTCCTCCCTCCTCCCTCCTCCCTCCTCCCTCCTTCCTCCTCCTCCTCCTCCTCCTCCTCCTCTTCTTCGTCGACGGCGGGCTGCGGCCAGCAGGACGTGGGTAGTCGGCGGGGCGCGTCGGGAGCGCATGGGGCACCGAGGGGGAGGGGAAGGGAACAATGTGGAGGGAGGAGGGAGGAGGGAGGAGGGAGGAGGGAGGGAGGAGGGAGGAGGAGGGAGGAGGAGGGAGGAGGAGGGAGGAGGAGGGAGGAGGAGGGAGGAGGGAGGGAGGGAGGGAGGAGGGAGGAGGGAGGAGGGAGCGCCCTCGGCACGCGGGCGGTGGGGGAGGCACCTCCGGCGCGGGCGGTGCCCGGCCGCCAGAGCTGCGGAGGGAGGCACCCGCCGGTCCCCCCCCCCCGCAGGCCACCGTGGTCGACATCCCGCCTTCGCCGGACCCTGCCCGGGTGCGGGGAGCTGCTTGCCCGCGGGCGTGCAGGGCGTGCACCGCCTGCTCCCGCTCCTCCTGCCGCTTCTGCTGCCGCTGCCCCCTCCTCCCTCGGCGCTCTCCAGGCTCTCCCGCACGCCTGCTTCTCCTCCGCCTCGTCCTCCTCCTCTTCTGCCCCCTCCCGCTTCGCCTGCTGCGCTGCGCACCAACCACAGTGAATGCTCCGACTCGCAGGATGCTGTCTCAATTTTTGCATGGGAGAGAGAGAGAGAGAGAGGGATGGGAGAAGTGGGGGTGGGTAAGTGATCAGACGGGTCTGATGTCGTTTCTATATTGATTGAACCCTTGCGCGTCAAAATATGGGGTCAAGGACACTTGAAGATGCGCCAGGTCCCCTTCAGGAACTTCGCTCCCATCTGCATCCGAGACTGGCAATAAAACATTAACCGTGCGCCGCCCAAAAGCATGAGCAAAGATGGAGCAGAGGGGTGGGGGATATTGCCTGGCAGCGGCAGCACGAAAGCTGCCTCCCTGATTGGTACCAGTCAACACACTGTGCGATCTGTAACCATGGGTGCACCTGCCACGATAAGGACCATTATTCACAAGCCCGCGGAGGTCAGAAGACTTTCAACAAGAAAGAGCAGTGGGCTTGACCGAGCTTGCACAGTACAGGCATGCACTGGTCAACCCAACCTTGATCAACAAGCTTTGGGCCTCCGAGGGGATCCCATGTGGGCCACCTCGGGAAGGCACCAAGAGGATGGAGCCTTGGGCTCATTCGGTGGGGCGGGGTGCTCTGCAATACCCCCGGCCCCAGAGGCCCAGCAGTCATACATGAGTAGGAGTGTTGTCTCGCACAGCGCTCGATCTTGATGATGATCATCCCCCTCACCTCTCGATCCTCCCTTCTTCGGCTGCTTGCTCCTCCTTCACTCCGGAGAGAGCGAGAGCAAATTGCGGACGATACAAGGAGGGGAGGGGGGAGGGAGAAGGATCCAGCTGGTGGGGAGTGGAGGAGATGAATGGGAATCCATTCGACGGAGGGACGTGGAGGAGGGGGAGGAGGAGGAAGAGGAGGAGGAAGGGAATGGGAGGTGCGGGAAGGTGAGGCGAGGAGTCGAGGGCAGTATCCGAGGAGCGGTGGATCCAGGGCCCGGGGCCGCAATCGACTCCTTGAACGGCGCCCCTCCTCTCGGCGTCCCCGAGCGCCCTGAAAAAGCAACCATGGCGGCGAGGCTTCCCCCGCTGACGCTCGGGAGCGTCCGGACGGCGCGCCGCTCCGCCGCTTCTGGCCCCTGCCGAGCCTCGACACGCTCTCCACCGGCCCCGCGGAGCGGAGCGACACGCCATCTGTCCGCTCGCAGGGCGCTGCGCGTCGTCGGGGGCCGCCGCGGCGACACGCCAACCAAGGGGTGCCGGATCGTAGGTCGCCTGGGGCCCCGGCGTCCCCAAAGTCAAGCAGTGGCGAAGCGTCCCGGCTCGCCCATAGCCCTACCAAACAATGTGCTAAGGACCTCTGGCGGTTTCCACGACATGCTCTTAGAGCATTTCTGGCTGGGACTGTCTTGTTTGAACACACCGGGTTTAGGTTCTACGAGCATTGTTTCTGTTCTTAGAACATTTTTGGGTTCTAAGAACTTTTCGTGGTATGACTATAGGAATGCCGGGACGGTCGGTCCCTGCTCAACAAAGCAGTTCATGGCGCGAAGCCCGTTCTCGAACACCGGGGGCGGGAGCCCCCAGGCGCCCGACGTCGCAAAAAGCCGTGGCGCCGGAGGTCTCGCTTCTTGTTTCGGTTCGTCGTCGGGAGTCCAGAGGATGCCGCCTGCTCTTTGGGGGAGGTGGGCAGACGCCGGGCTCAGTACAGTGCCGTCTTTAATACATGCTCCGCGTGCGGATCATGTATTAAACATGCAGGCATTTAACATCAACCACAACGATTAGTTCATGCATACATCTATCCATACATAAATCATGTATTTAAATATGACAAACAAAAAGCAAATCTTATGTATTAAAAACTGCCCTGTAGCCTATCGAAGAAGTTCATCCCAGACGTTGGCAGTCCATTGCACGACAGGTTAACTCGCCGCGCGGACGCGGCGGTTGACCCCAGCGCGGGCGCTCGAGGTGGAACGCCGTCAGCGGCCTGGAGCTGGACGACAGCCCACACAGCCTACGATTTGTACGTTCTGAAGTTCGCGATCGTTACTTTCTGAATGGCCCACGCGATTTTCCGAGGCCCACGCAGGCGTCGTGGCGTCGTCGCGGCGTGGGTCTTCTCCTCGGACGGTTTCGAAGCCTCCCTTCAGGATGCCTCCATTCCCAGGAGATTGAATTCAGCATCGGCTTGGGAGGTTCAATTCAGCATCGGCGCTCGTAGATCCGTGTTCGCAGACCCGCCGTATCTGGCAGACTCCCATGCAATCCTGCCGGATCATGACTCACCCAGCCTAGTCCTGGAATCAGTCGGGGCCAGTCCGCCCTGGTGGCCTCCTTCAAAGGAGTTCATAGATGCAGCCTGCCAGATCTGACCCCAGAGGCGCAGGGCTCCCCCCACCGATCAGGGGCCGGACCGAGCTCCCCGCCCCGTTTGGCAGACCTCTGCTCGTTCGATGGACCGGCCAGGCAACCAGCCTGCAGTGACACCGGTCGGAGTGCTCCGGGGCCCGATCGGGGCTCAAGAGGCGGGTCAATGCAAGCGGGGGCCACTCAGAGCGCTGGATCCCGCAGGATCCTGCAGGACTGGTGCCGCATTGACCTGGGCTTGGGTGCAAGATCCTGCAGGATCCTGCAGGATCTTGCAGGATCCTGCGAAGCCTGACTGATCCGGGTCTGGATTGACCCGGGTCAGTAGATCTCCGACCCGATCGGAGTTCTCTTGTCGGAGGCCACTGGAGCGGGGCAGGCAACGCGCGTGCGGGAGACTAATATCCACGCCTGGCTGGACAAGGAGAAGGCCTCGCAGGCGCCTCCCGAGCGGCACACCCGACAGACGCTCGCGTCGCGGACAAAGTCAGGACCGGCGGAGGCTTTTGTGGCCGTTTTCGTCCCCTTGGGGCCCTCGCCAGGCCCTGGGACCGTCAAAAGGTAGCCCAGGATGAAAAACTGGTCATGCGATAATGGCTTGGACTTGGGGGACAGCGTAAGGCATGAGCCTGGGGGTGTGGGCTGCGGGGCCTTAGCAGAACGAAGCTTTCGGAGGTCCGCGCGGATTTCTTGGATCGGTGCTGGATCTGGCGCCGCCGGTGGCCAACGCCGTAGTGTGTCTTGCAAGCGCCCAGGGCGTTTCTTTATAGCTTCCAGCCTTCATTCGAAAACTTGTTTTTCATAGTTTCCAGCTGCCGTTTTAAGTCGTTTCCAGGTCTCCGTGGCAATGCAGTTTTGGATCATTTCCGACGCCAATCCAAGGGAACGTTTTTTAATGTCCAGTTTTGTTTGTTCATCGTTTACAGGTCTGCCTTGCAACGTGCTCTGTTGTATCCAGTACTGTTTTGTCTGGCCGTGCATTGTCAGTCACCAGGCGGAAATGAGGCACCAGCAGGCAGCAGCAGCAACAAGCAGGCAGTTGCAGCGCACAGCAGGGAACGGCAGGCACGATCAAGCAGGGAGTTGGCGGCTGCAGCGGGCAGCAGGTGAACCAGAGTAGTCTTTTTTGGATAGAGAGTCGGAGAGTGCGTCATAGCCGGAGAGTCAGTGTCAGTGTCCTTCAGTGCGTGTGAGAGTGGAAAGTCAGTGTCCTAACGGCGGCGTCGGCGGCGCAACAGCGGCCGAAGCGGCGGTGGCGACATCTTCCATGTTTTCGCCTCCCCTGGGCCAGGGGTCGAAGTTGCCTGTTTGAGAACCTCCCCAGTGCGTTTCCAATGCGTTTTCAAGGCGTTTCCAGCCCCCCACTCCAGGTGGGTCGGACAGCGATTGACCGGTAGCGCGCGCTAAGAGCTCGACACGCTCTCCAAGAGACTTCACTGTGGCACCTCCTCGGCCCGCTGCAGCCCCCGGCTTCCTCCCGTGCTGCCCGGTGCTGCTGCTACCTGCCGCTGCTGCCTGCTGCTGCTACGGCTTCCTGCTGCTGCCTGCAGCCGTTGACGGCCGCTGCGCCGCCCCGCGTTTAGCATCATTCCTATCTTGGGGGGGGGGTCCTTCCCGTTTGCAGCTTGCGCCGATTCGTTTTAGAGTAGTTTTCACTGTTGTGTATTGTTCCGATTCCGTTATTCATCGTTTCCATGTCCCCGCTGCTGACCCACAAGGCGTAGAGTTGGAAACTGCAAGGAATCGCATTGGGCGTTTCCAAGGCACAGTAGAGCCAACGCCGATTCAAGATGTCCGCGCGGACCTCCAACAGTTTGTGTTTATGCGGTTTTGCTCGCGGGATCCTGACGAGCAAACCCTCCGCTGGGTTCAGGCTACTGCTTGAGGCTGCTGGCTGGTTTCTGCAGACGGGCGCCGCCACGCTTCACGGCGGCGACGTCAACGTACAGTTGAAGCACACAAGTGTCGGGCTGCGCTGGTGGACGAAGGAATTTCAAGACCTTCATGCCCGCGAGTGAGGTCGAGGCGACCCTCGTCTTGGAAGGGCTTCCCGAGCCGTGGTGCATGTATCAAGTAGCTGATCTTGGAAGCTCAGTACTGAGCTTCCAGCGGAAACACATACATGAGCAGCCCAGTCCTCCTGGCAAGCGTTAGCGCGAAACCAAGACTTCAATCCCTCCATTATCTTACCATGTGATGTTCAATGCCAGTCGGGAATCGTTTCTCCTCGGTTCTTTTGTTATAGTCACCGCCGTGACGGTGTTTCTGGTTTGGAACTCGGCGCCGATTCTCGCTGCAGCCTCGAGCAGCTTTTATGGATTGCGGATTGTACGCAGCGCCTTGCGATTGCGGATCAGAGAGAAGAGGGTGCCGGAGAAGAAGAAGGCAGGGAGGGAAGGTTCAGCAAGCGGTTGCCGCTCAGCCGCCGCCGCCGCGACGCGCGACCAGGCCGTGGTGCCCAAACCTTCTCGTGTTCTCCTCCTCCCTCGCATGCTGGTCCTCGTGCGGCTTCTGGACCAAAACCCTCCTTCAATCACGGCGCGACGTGCTGGACAGCTAGGCCTTGGTGCCCAAACCTGCTCGTTGTCTCCTCCTCCTCCCTCGCATGCTGGTCCTCGTGCGGCTTCTGGGCCAAAACCTTCCTTCAATCACGGCGCGACGTGCCGGACGGCTCGCCTGCCCCGCTGCGCATGATCTGTGGAAGATAAAGTGTGCTCGGGTGCCGGCGCCAGCCCCAGCGGGGAGGCGCCGCCCCGCGTGCGCGCACGCGGGCCCGCCGCCGTCCCGGGGGCCGCCCGGCCAGGTGGGGAGTTCGGTGCACCTCTCTCTCTCGGGGGCGGCAAGGATGCCTGGCATCGCTCGGACGTGTGCATTTTTTTCCTCGGCGAGGACCATCGAGGAGCAGCCTTGATCATTTGGCGAACAAGCCACGCACGAAACCGAAAAAAGCACAGGGAATGGACGTCCGAGCGATGGCCAGGGATGGGGGGTGATGACTAGGGGGGGTGGCTATCACAGCGGGGGCCACAATATCTCCCCAGACTTCCTGGCGCCTCTTCTTATTTCAATACGTCCCCGGCCCCCCCCTGGGCCGTGCACATGCCGCCGGCCATGATCTGCGCCCCCCCCATGTTGGCCGCCCGCGATCCCTCCTCCCCTTTCCTCGACGTGCTGTCGGGCCGATCTGGCCCGCAGCGTCAGCGGTGCGGCCTGCCACCTGCCGCAAGGGCGCGCCATGCAAGATCAGCAGACCGACCCTGCCGAAGCCCCAGGCACGCCACGGCGCACCCCTCCCAACAACAACCACCATGGTCACCATGGCTTCGAAGTAATAGTGATAATAACAACCAAACTAAGAATAACATTAATAAGCCACAAACTCCATATTATAAATATGGAAAGAAACGTCAGTCCCTCCGCCTCCTCCCTCCGTCGCGGGGCGCCCTGCCCGCACAGTGCAACGAGGTGCTCTCAGCACGCCCTCGGCAACGAGAGGGCCCTCGACGAGCCACTCGCAGCGCCCATGCAGCAGGCGGTGTGGGGTCGGAGGCCCAGGAAGTGGCTCCAGCACGCCACCCAAGGGGGGGTCCCCCGGTGATGGCGACACTCCTTCTGGCAACTGAGGAGACTCAACCTTACCACCGTCGCCGAGACCGGAATCAGCTGTCCCCCGTGGATGCCGGCTTTCCTCCTGGCAACTGAGAGGCCTCGACCTTACCACCGTCGCCGAGGCTGGGATCAGCCGTCCCCGGTGGCGGCAACCGGCGACACTGGTTCGGGAGCCCCCAAAGGGGGTGGGGACCACACCGTGCGGTGAGTCGGTGGGGATTCGGGGTCACCGCACGGTTTTGGGACTCGAGTCCCTCTCCGCGGACGCCTCGGGCGACAGGGGCCCCCGGGGTCCCAGGACCGTGCGGTGACGGACTTTGCGGTGAGGTCTTTGGGGGGACTTCGAGGTCACCGCACTTGTCCGTCCCCGCACCGTTGCGGGACTCCCAAGTGGGTGGTGTCGGGACCAGCATCCAGGCGTCTGGCAGTGCAGCGGGGTCACCCGCGGGGGCGCGAGGATGGGCGCACGTCGCGCCACAGGGGCCTGGGCTGGAGAGTTCCGCTCCCTTCTCCACCTGAGCGGCGCGGGGGCGCAGATCAGACCTTGCTCCGCTCTATACGCGCCCCGCGCGCGAAGCGCAGTGCCGGGTGGTCCTTGGCGTACTTGCTCTGTAGACAGGAGGCGCGTCAGCTGTGAAACTGGCTCGCCAGCAGGTGCTGACGGAAGTGCTCTGTGTCCCAAGATGGCCGTGAGCCGTGGGGGGCCCACAGCAGTTCCGTGGAGCATGTCCAGGAGCTCGAGGCTCCACGGCAGACGTGCGCCTAGATCTCTCTTCTTACAGAGCCAGGGTGTTCCATCGTGTGTGTGTGCCTGCTGCATTCAGCAGGCGCCAGCGCAAAGGCCTCCCAGCCCGATCCCTTCAGAGCCCAAGACTGCCCAAGAGGCCCCTCAGAGGCCTCCAAGACGGCCCAAGAGGCCTCGAAGAGGTCCTCCAGGAGGGCCCGCAGGGGCCAAAATCCTTGATTTTCCTTTGGTTTTTGAAGTTTACGTCTTTTCTGCATTCCGACGGCTCAAGACGGCCCAAGAGGCCCCCAAGATCGCCCAAGTCGGTGCCCCGCGGAGCTGCCTCGACGTGCAGCTGGACCCGCGGCGCCGCCCGGGAGGCCCGCGCAGGGCGCTCGAGGGCGCGGCCTCGCCCCCCCGAGGCAGCACCCCCGCCCTCGGCGGAGGGGTCCGCGGGCGCTGGTCAGCGCCAGGTCGGCAGAAGCCCGGTGACGAACGCGGAAGTAACTTACCATCGACGACACGTAAGAGTGACCCTACGCCGGAGTGACCTTTGGTGCGGGCCCACTGGGGGCCCCGATCGCCGAACGCGAGGCGGCAGTGGCGTCTTGCGCGCTTGTGTTTGGCCCTCCCGCGGCCCCCAAAAAGCCGCGCACCAATGGTCACTCTTACCCAGGGTCACTCCTACGTGTAGCCGATACCAGCCTGGAGCATAGCCCCATCCCCATGCCGGGCATCTCCCCATCACGGTGCCAATCTCAGGGATTTTTTTTTTTTGAGGGCGCATCCCTAAGACTGTCATCGCCTTTTGGCGTGTCAATCTTAGGGATAGGGAATTTACCAGCCTGGAACATATCCCTATCCCCATGCTGGGCATCTCCTCATCACGGTGCCAACCTGAGGGATTCCCTTTTTTTTTGAGGGCGCACCCCTAAGATGGTCCTCGCCTTCTGGCGTGTCAATCTTAGGGACAGGGATGAGTTCGAGGCTGGTAAGTGGCTTGACGAGCGAATAACACGCACCCGTACCCATCGAGGGGTCGGAGGAAGGGGGACCGGCTATGGGTATCAGTGTGTGGGTCGTCGGACCCCGAGGGGCGTTTCCGTTCGAGCGGGGACCCCCATCGAACAACACGCAACCATGGCCGCCTCCGTGCCCTCTATGGGCATAGGTGTGTCTCGCTCGCTCGTCATGAGTGCTGGCTCCCCAGCACCGACGTATTCAGGGCGCCCGGGGTCTTCCACTCGTCGCCACGGCAACATGTCGCGGCTCACTCGTCAGGGTCGCTAGAATTGTGGATTGGCAATTGGGGTTGATTAAGTCGGGCCTGTCCCTCTACAGGGGGAAGGTTCAAGAATAGTAACAACTAGTCTGGGGACAATTTGTTTAGCATGTCTAGGCATCTTTTGAGTATGCTTTTGGAGTATTTCTAATTTTTCGTCCAAAATCCCCCTGTAGGGGGACAGGCCCGACCAAACATTGGGGGCCCTTGTCGTCTTTCGCCGATGCGTCGGCGGTGCATCGCCGAGGCCACGCCGACGTACGTCGCCCGGAGCCAGCCGCCCTCCCCTCTCTTCGGCTCCCCTCCACTGTTGCCGGGGGCCTCGACGGCTGTCTTGAGCACGCGCGGTTACGTTTACAGTCAAGACGCTGCAATGAGGAGCAGTTTGGGTTCGGAAGGGGCTCGATGTTCCTTAGGTTCCTGCAGCGCTGTTCCTCTTACCCTCCTGGGGCACGGAGGCGCTTACAGGGCCAAGAAGGGGCTTCGTTCCTTATTTTGCGTTCCTTCTTTCAGCGGCCCGACTGTACAGCCAGCCCGCATGGTAAGGATGGGCAACCTTTTCCAAGGGTGCCCTCGCATCCTTGCCTCCTCGGTCCATCCTTGCCCGCTTCCGTTGGCCGCGCCCCGCTCGGAAAGCATCGAAGTGGCCTTCCAAGGCTCCTGCATCCGTACTGCGGATCCTTCCTATCCGGGTCGGTTCGAGCTCTTTCGGTTGGAATGCCTCCGTCTGCGCATAGGCATCGTCCTCTGGTGCACGGGCTTCCTCGTTGCGCACCTCGCGCACAGGAGTCCTGCAAGAGCCTGCCCTTCACGGTGCTCTTCTACTTCTCGTACTTTGTCCGGGGGGGCGGCGGGCAGCGAGGCCAGCAGCAACCGGACAGGCAGCGTAGGAGCCTCATGAGGCTGACGAGGCTGACGAGGAGGATGGTAAGCAGGGAGCCAGGCACGGATGCACGGGAGGAGGGAAGGGGGAGGGCGGGAGGATCGCGATGCATGCGAGAGGAGAGGGGTGGGCGGAGAGCGGCTTCGCACCCCTGCGTGCTCGCATCGCAGTGGGAAGTGGCCGACGCCTGGCCACGGCCAGCGGACGACGAAGCGTACACCGCCAGAGAGGCCATCGCCAGCGAGCCGCCGTTCTTTGGAATTGACCATGCCATGCATGCAGGTGCTGTTTCTGTGCGACCTCACCGCGCTGCTAACTGCAGCTCGTACAACCCTGGCCGCAGTCTCAGCTGCCTCACTGTCCTGCGCCCCCAGATGCGCATGCACAATGGGTCAAGTGCTTGCCCACAGTGTCGACGCTGTTTTTAAGGAGCAGCTCGGTTTCGAAAGCGGCTTGCGGTTCTTGGAGTTCTTCCATGGTTGTTCTTCCAGCGCTCCTCGTGTAGCCAGGCGCTCCCGGGGCCGAAGAAAGGATTTGTTCCTGGCGTTCCTATGCTAAGTTGACTGTGCTCCGCCTGTCCTTCCATGACCGCTCTGGTCGAGGCTGGCCTCTGCAAGCCCTTCTGATCGCGATTGGTGCCCCTTCGGTCAGGGTGTTCGGCAGCGCGCCCAAATTTCATCGCTCCCACGGAAGCGGAACGGGGCTCTTGCGTCGAGGTCCGAAGCGGGGGCTCGAAGGCAAGGGGAGAGAAGGATTGGATTGGGGGAGGATCGTGTGGAGAGAGAAAGGAAGCGAAAGGGGGTGAGGGAGCGGAACAAGAGAGAAAGAAAGAGAAAGGACAAATCCTATCTTGGCGAAAGACCCGCATGATATGGGAATTGCCTTCGGTGGAGCTCCCTATGGGCCCGAAACGCGCAAAAGGAGCGCCGTCATGGGGTGGGGCCGCCATGAGGGCCCTGCTGCTGGGGCCTTCGGTGGAGCTCCCGATGGGGCCATGACACGTGTGAGAGGCGTCCAAAGTTGAGGACGGGCGGCATGCGAACCATGCCATTGGGGCCTTCGGTGGAGCTCCCGATGGGGCCACGAAACGTGTGAGTGGTATCTCAAAGAGGTGGGGGAGCGGCATGCGAACCATGCCACTGGGGCCTTTGAGGGGTGTGCCAAAGTGGAGGGGAGGAGGCATGCAAACCATGGCACTGGGGGGTTCGATGAAGCTCCCAATGAGGCCACGAAGCGTGTGAGGCGTGTGCCGAAGTGGAGGGGGGCTGCATGCGAACCATGCCACTCTGGCCTGCGGTGGAGCTCCCGATGGGACCACGACACGTGTGGGAGATTTGCCAAAGTGGAGGGGAGGCAGCATGCAAAACATGCCACTGGGGCCTTCGGTGGAGCTCCCTATGGGGCCACGACGCGTGTGAGGGGTGTGCCAAAGTGGAGGGGGGGGGCGGCCTGCACACCATGACATTGGCGCCTGCGGTGAAGCTCCCGATGAGGCCACGGAATGCGTGAAGGGTGTCTTAAGGGGGAGGGAGAGAGCCATGCGAACCATGCCATTAGAGCCTTCGATGGAGCTCCCGATGGGGCCACGCAGCGTGTGATGGGTGTTCCAAAGTGGAAGGGGGGGGCGGCATGCGAACCATGCCACTGGGGCCTTCAGTGGAGCTCCCGATGGGGCCACGAGACGTGTGAGGGGTGTGCCATGCCACTGGGGCGTTTGATGGAGTTTCCCATGTGGCCACGCAGCGTGTGAGGCGTGTGCCAAAGTGGCGGGGTGGGGGGGAGGGGGCGGCATGCAAGCCATGCCACTGGGGCCTTCGGTGGAGCTCCCGATGAGGCCACGGAATGTGTGAGGCATGTGCCACAGTGGAGGGGGGGCGGCATGCAAACCATGCCACTGGGGCCTTCGGTGGAGCTCCCGATGAGGCCACGGAATGTGTGAGGGATGTGCCAAAGTGGAGGGTGGGCGGCATGCGAACCATGGTATTGGGGCTTGCGGCGGAGCTCCCGATGGGGCCACGAAGCGTGTGAAGGATGTCTCCAAGAGGAGGGTGAGCGGCATGCGAACCATTTCATTAGAGCCTTCGGTGGAGCTCCCGATGGGGTCACGCAGCGTGTGAGGGCTGTGCTTAAGTGGAGGGGAGGCGGCATGCAAACCATGGCAATGGGGCCTTTGGTGGAGCTCCCTATGTGACCACGCAGCGTCCGAGGGGTGTGCCAAAGAGGAGGAGGGCGGCATGCCAACCATGCCATTGTGGCCTTCAGTGGAGCTCCTGATTATGCCACGACGCATCTGAGGGGTGTTCCATAGTGGAGCGGGGGCAACATGCGAACATGCCACTGGGGCATGCGGTGGAGCTCCCGATGATGTCGCAAAATGTGTGAGGGGTGTGCCAAAGTGAAAGGGAGGCCGCATGCAAACCATGCCACTAGGGCCTTCGATGGAGCTCCCTATGGGGCCACGGCCCTTGTGAGGAGTGTGCCAAAGTGGAGGGGGGGCGGCATGCGAACCACGCCACTGGGGCCTTCGATGGAGCTCCCGCCGATGGGGCTTCGACGCGTGCGAGGGGGTCCAACATTTGAGGGAAGGCAGCACGCGAACCATGCCATTTGGGCCCTCTGTGGAGCTCCTTTGGGGGCCACGAAGCGCGTGAGGGACGCGCCAAAGTGAGAGGGTGCTGGGAGAACAGGGGAGCAGGAGGAGGAGGAGGATGAGAAGGAGGAGACGCGGGCACCGCCTCTTCAAGACGAAGACCCCACACCACAGGATGGTTGGGAAAAGAAAAATGGAGGAGGAGGGGACGAGGTGGAGTTGGAGCAGGTGGACGGGATGAGGGAGAAAATGGGGACTGTGATGACAGGCATGCGATGATGAGGAGGCGCAGGACGGAGGAGGGATGCAGACGGTTTCGGAGGTTGTGGTGGTTTTGTCGTATCACGTGCAAGATCAGTCGACCGATACGCGGCGCAACCAGTCGATGGTTGGACCGCTACCATCCGTAAGCCACACGAGCGCTTCAGAGTGGATTTGGAGATCCGCCAAGATAGAGCGCGAGTTGAATCGCCCGCGTACGTGGGCGCAATCCCGCCGAATGGTTGAGGTCAAACAGGCTGTCGCTTGCCAGGCTTGCTCCTACGCGTGTGCCTCCCGGCAGCAGTTGGCAACTCATGCTGTCATTGCGCACGGCGTGAAGAGTTGGTTCACGTTGCGCGCTGCCCCATGTTCAGCGGACCAGTCGTCTTCATCGGTCTATATATTTATGTGTACATATATATACATATATATATGTATACATATATAGGTATGCGTTTACTATATATATATACACATGGATATATACATGTATGTTTTCAAGTTTCAGATGCGCTCTATGTATTCTTCATCTGTGCACCTCTGTGTTCTATAGTTCTGCTGCCGTTCGGGATCCTGAGGCCCCAGGGGAGAGAACTTGGCACTCGCGCGTGCTGGCGCCCACAGCAGGGGCAGCGTTATGGTAGTGGGCTCCCAGTGGAACGCATCGACCCCCCGTGGCCCATTCTTTGCGGATCGGCAGGGGTCAGGAGGGAAAAAAACACGCAGACACAATGAATATGCGGGAAAGTGTGCAAACATACGGGAAGTGGGGGGGGGGAAGACAAACAAACCCAAACATATAGGAACATATGGGGAATCTTTTTATATGTGTGTATTTATTTGTGTGTCCTGGGGTCCCTTCAAGGGGCCTGATGGCCCATCCCGACGGAACGCGCGGAACATCGTGATCGGGGGCGTATCGCCGACCTGTCGGCGACGTATCGCCGATTCGAGCTCAAGGGTTCCCCCCTCGGAACTGTCCTCCGACCCTGTTCCATGCACGCGCAGAGGGGCGGGGCGGGTGGGAAGGGGAAGGCTCCTTAGAGGCAGCCCCGCTAGAAGGCGCGGGCCTGATTTACAGATGTACAGTCAAGGCGCTGACATAAAGGAACAGTTGGGGTTCGGAAGGGGCTCGATGTTCCTTCGGTTCCTCCAGTGCTGTTCCTCTTGCCCTCCTGGGGCACGGAGGCGCTTACAGGGCCAAGAAGGGGCGTCGTTTCTTATTTAGCGTTCCTTCTTTCAGCGGCCCGACTGTAAGGCCGACGTCTTCTTAGACGCAGTCTCCTTCTAAGAAGCCTGCCCCCCTTTCCCCTGCCCCCTTGTGCGCGCCGCCAATCTTCGTTCCCCCACGAGAGCGCTGGGGCGGGGGAGATGGCCCAGCTCGCCCACCGCGACGTCACCACTGTCTTCCCGCTGACGTCTTCACTGGCCACGAGCATGACGACGGAGCGGCGCGGGCGCCCCGCTGTCTGCGCATCTGCTACCAGCTTGAACCGTATCCCTATCCGTATGTTTGGCATCACCTTACCTCGGTGCCGACCTTCAGGATTTCCTCCGTTCCTGAGGGCATATCCTTGAGATTGTCATGCCCTTGGGGTTGTTGATCTCAGAGATGGGGAGAAGTTCGAGGCTGGTCAGTACGGGGCGTCTCAGCAAGGGCTTCGCCATCCAGGAGCCGCAGGAGTTGAGATCTCTTTTTGGACGGATGGAGGCCGAATGCAGTGGAGAGAGGACACGAGGCCCCTCCGACGGTGGGAGTCTGGCGGAGGCTGGCGGACGTAGGAGCTTCGTCCCCGATCAATGGCAGCGTTACGGGGGATGCAGTTTTTTTTCCGAATCGGGCAGACATCCCCTGGCCGGCCCAGGGAGAGCGGGGGAGAGGGGGGGGTGGGGCGAGCCGGCAAAGGCGCGGTGAGGGAGAGGGCCAGGGAGGGAGGGAGGGCAAGGGAGGGGTCTAGGTCAGACGGTCAGCGGGGAGGTCGGGTTGGGAGCAGGGGGGGGGATGCAGAGGAGAGGGAGCGGGCCAGAGGGGGAGATTGGGGAGGAGGAGCCACGGAAGGGCAGCAGGGGTACGTGGGGTGAGGGGGGAAGGGAACAACCTCCCGTCCAGCGAAGCCCAGCGACATGCATACATTAATGCAGTTTCAGGGCGTGGTGTCTCGCAGGGGCCGCCGCCGCGACACACCGATCCACGCCAGCGTGCGCCCGAGGCTTGAGGCCGAGCTCCTCCTCGGCGGAGGGGGCAGCGGAAGGCCAGCGGAGGCCCGATGATGCAACACGGGGCGGCATCGCGCCCCCGAGCCCAGACCGGGCACAGAGACGGACACGCTCGCCGCTCGCGAGGAGGCGCCGGCCTGCTCATGCCGCATTCTGGGCGCCGAGCGGAGGCCGGGCGCCGCGGGGCGGGCGGCGCCGAAGGCGGCGTCTGCGGCGGCCAGCCTGGCCTCGTCGCTCTCCGCCCTCGCCCTCCGCCCTGCCTCGGCACCCCCCCGAGTCTCCGCTCGAGCCCTCTCCTCGCTCCAGGACCCCCAGCGCCGCACCTCGGTCCATCGGCGCTCCCCCGCCCGCCTCCTCCTCGTCCGCCTCCGCCTCCTCCTCCGCCTCCTCCTCCTGCCGCCCCTGCTCCGGCACGAGGCGCGAGCCGCGGCTTGGCCCAGGTGTTGAAACCGCGGCTGCTTGGGTGTCGATGCCGGTCAGCAGTGCTAGTTCAAGTTCCGTCGCAGACTCGCAGCGGGAAAGCCGGGACAGAGTCCGAAGCGGTACGGGCTCCTCGGTCTGCCCGCCCCACTGCCGCGTGCCAAGCTGGCTCCCGCTCCGGAGTGTTGCTGACACGTCTGCCACTGCAGCGCCGGGCCTCTACATACTTGTGTGGCAGTTCTATGTTTTCAATCTGGAGGTAGTTCACCCCTTCCTGCTCCTACCCCTTCCTTCCTGGCCATCCGATTCTCCGTCTCGCCTCGCGGTCGTTTCATCCTCTTCCCCTGCCTCCTTTCTCCTCGTTGAAGCCAGCCATGCGCACCCGCCCCTTCCCGTCGCCTCCCCGCAGCTCGCCACACATGCTCCAGGGCCCTCCACAGGCACTCCCACGCCCTGGCCTCCCATTTCCGTGTCCTGGCCGCTCTCTTTGCGCCTGGACGGACGGAGCACGGGGGAGCGGGAGGAGAGTGTCGGGGGTGGACAGAACCCCCAACAGGGACACGTCGATTAGTGATTTGTCCGTTTTCGGTTCCCGAGAGGGCGCCGTGGCCGTCATTTTCCAGGCTTGCGCCCGCCAGGTTTGGGCCTCAGGTCGCTTTCACTAAACCACGTTTTACTCAAGGAAGGTCTGTCCATCCCCGAGAGCGGGGTGTGGAGAGGGGAGGGGGGGGACCCGGAGCGGGGGGGGGGGCGGAGGGGGGACAGCGAGGGGGGGGGGGGGGCGAGGCAAGCGCCACGGCAGGGCCGCAGGCGGTGCGTGCCAGAGGGCGGGGGGGGGGGCGCAGGGCGTCCTGCCGACGCCGATCACGCAGACGACCACGAGGCCGAAGGCCCGACCGCTGACGGAGCCGAGCGGCCGCGCCCCCCTGCGGGGGGGGGGGACCTGGGCGGGAGGGATCGGGTCGGGCGAAAGGGAGGGATACCAAAGGGGGGGTTTGAGAATCAGCTCATGTAGCTGATTTTCCCGGCGCCTCCCGGCGCTGGAGGCGGCTATGTATCGAGGAATGGGCCCCTCGGTGAGGCCGAAACCAGCTGCATGCCGCAAATTTCGCACCCCCCACCTTTCCCAATCCCCCCCTTTCGTCTGGCCCGAAGGGAGGGGGCGGCGGCCTGGCGGGGCGGCAAGGGAGGACCCAGATCATCCGCGACCGCCCAATGCCAGTAGCGAGGTAGCAGAGCCGGTCGCTATTGGAATACTGGAACCCAGGGTTTCATTATGGTATCAGGAGTCACGCGTGCACGGTTGAATCAGCGTGCAACTTCCGGTAATTCGTTATTGGATTCGCGTTCAGCGATACTGGATTTCGGCGTCTCGTCGCTACCGAAATCCTGCGCCGTCATTACCGAAATTTGGCAGCAGGAATGCCGAAATCCGCGCGTGGTTCGTTACCGAATTTCGCGTTCGACGATACCGAATTCTGCGTCGCAGTCAATACCGAAATTCAGATGATCTGGGGAGGCCTTGGCAGGCGAGAGCTGCACGGTACAGAGGCGGGGACTGCTGCTCAGTGGTGTTTGCCGCTCGAGCCTCGCTGCGACGCGCGCTCGCGCCTCAGGCTTTTTGCGCTGCGCTTGGGCTGGCGGGTCTTGGATGGGTTCGCCAGAACGTCCGACCCAGATTTCGCATGACCACGGCCTGCATGGCGGAGAGGGGGTGGAGCAGGTCAGTGGGACTCGGCATCGCAGCAGGCTGCTCAGTGAACCCATCGGAGGGAGGAGGGGCAGACATGGAAGGGGGGAGTAGGTATGGGAGGGATGGAGAGGGAAACAAAACGATGAGATGGAGGGGAGGGACGGGGGGAGGGGGCACAGAGGGGGAGGAGAGGATAGGAGAGGAGCCAGGCAGTGGAGGGGTGGGCGAGGAGGACGAGGAGGAGGGAGAGAAGAAGGAGAACGGGACGCAGTGTGGAAGTTCTTGAGCTGCTTGTTGTTGCTTCCTGGTTGGCCCCGCGTGGCCACAGGCGGAGCCGACTTGACACGAGAGCCTTGCCATGGCGCGCTTCAGGGCAGGTCCTAGGACGGGCAGCGAGATCCTTCATGGCCGGGGGAGGTCAAAGCGGCCTTCGTCGTGGCCGGTGCTTGCCCCCGCGCGCCTCACACCCCTTCGTTGTGACACGTTGCACGGCCTATGATCGAATGATCGCAGCGTCCAGACGGACGTCGCCTCCTTCAGCTCCCCCCTTGTTGTCGTCGTCGTCGTCGTCCTTCTCCTCCTCCTCCTCCTCCGCCTTCTCCTCCTCCTCCTCTGCTCCCGTCTGCTTTCCCGTGTTCTCGCTCCTACAGGCCGAGGGCCTGGAGCCGAGGGAGCGGCCAGGCCTACTCTGCGAGATGAGCCTAATGTGTGCGTTGTGCATTGTCCGTTGGCGCTTGGGAGAAGGGGGAACCAGAAAGGGATGGAGCGAGGGGAGGTAAGAAAGGGGTGGAAGAGCAGCAGGAGGACGACGACGATGAAGATGATGGTGAGGATGGTGCTGATGATCATGATGGTGATGATGCTGTTGATGATGATGCTGGCAATGATGATGCTGCCAATGATGATGAGGAGGACGACGACGGTAGTGATACTACTGTTAGTGTTGGTGAGATCGATGATGCTTGTAATGTTGATGATGAGGTTATTGCTGATGGTGATGCTGATGATGCTGATGATGTTGATGACGCTGATGCTGATGGTGGTTGTGATGATGATGTTGCTGATGTTAATGCTCATGCTGATGCACATGCGTATTATGATGATAACGGTGCCGAAGCTTATGTTGCTGATGATGATTGCGAGGTTGATGATCATGCTTATGCTGCTGCTGATGCTGGTGCAGATTATGACGACCCTGATGATGCCGATGATGCTGGTGATGATGCTGATGATGGTGATGATGTTGATGATGGTGATGATGCTGATGATGATGATGATGATGATGATGATGGTGTGGATGCAGCTGATGTGATGACGACGATGCTGATGATGATGATGATGCTGCTGATGATGATGAGGAGGAGGAGGAGGAGAAGCAGGAGGAAGGGTATCCGCAGGATGATGACGAGGACATGTGTCTGGGCAAGCGCTCGGGAAATTCCTGACTCGATTGCATGTTTGCCGGCAGCAGCTTCGACATTGCTCGGACACATTTTGCGCGGGAGCGGAACACCATCCGGTGCGTAGCAAGCGCGGGGCGGAAAGGAAGCCTACCGAGGATCCCCAAGCTCCCGGAAAATAATACAGAGTACGAGTGGGGAGGTCGAGCAGTCTACACTGCCCCTAGTGGCGTGTCAGGGGGGACGTGCCAGGGGCCGCGCCAGGGGTCGTTCCAGGGGAACGTACCCCAGTGCGGGCCACTGGACGGGCTAGGGAGTGTGCCGGGTGACGCGATACGGGACGCGCGAAGAGACGTCGGGCGACGGGCCAGAGCAGGTGACGTGCCTGGGGATGTGCCAGGGGACGTGTCTGGGGATGTCCCTGGAGACGCGCCAAGGGGCGAGCTGGGGGAGGTGCCAGCGGATGCGCCAGGGAGCGTGTCATGGGGAGGGGCAAGGGGCGCGCGGACGAACGAAGGAACGGGGGGACAGGTCAGAGGGCGTCCAGGGAACGTGCCGGGGAGTGATTAAGGGGTACCTGCCATTGTACGCGTCATGGGATGCGCCAAGGGAGAAGCTTGGGGTGACTTGCCACGGGACGTGCCAAGGGACGACCCGGGAACGCTTCGTTTGTCGTGGGCTTCGCCAGGCGTGGAGCGATTCCTTAGGCGCGCAGCGAGCATCTGGCTTATCCTTTAGGCAAGGGTGTTGACCTAGCAATGCGGAGGACGACGCCGTTGGAGTCACCGTCCCATCGTCGCGCGCGCGGTAGGCGCACCCGCTCGCCCAGGCGATGTGCAAGCCGCAGGGCATACCGACCTGCGTGAACGCAGTCACTCCCCGAAATATGCGAGCGTGGTCATTCTCAGGCCGCGCAGTTGTTGTCGGAGGGCAGTTGCTAGGGTCAGCAACTTCGGCTTAGCATTCGCATGTCGCCCCGCCGGTTCTGGCCCACCACGTTTCGGCCCGACATGTTGTCCACGCCTCCATTCTCGATCGTTAGTGCCGTTAATGCCATGCCCCTCTTTCTTTATCGTTTGGTTGTTTATTTGTTTTGTTCTCTCTCTCTCTCTCTCTTTCCCGCTCTCTCCCTCTATATGTATGTCTGCGTCTTTCTCTCTCTCTCTCTCATGCCGAGCGCTGCCCTGAGCGAGCCGACACAAACGGGTGCCCGATTCCCCTCCCACACTCCTTTGGTGTCGTCCTCCTGCTCCTCCTCCTCCTCCTCCTCCTCCTCCTCCTCCTCCTTCCCATCATCATCATCATCATCATCATCATCAGCATCATCATCATCATCATCATCATCGTCATCATCATCATCATCATCATTGAATCATCATCAGCATCATCATCATCATCATCCTCATCAGCATCAGCATCAGCATCAGCATCAGCATCAGCATCATCATCATCATCATCACCATCATCATCAGCAGCAGCATCATCATCATGACCACCATCAGCAGCAACATCATCATCAGCAGCAGCAGAAGCAGCAGCATCATCTTCCCTCCTCCTCCTCCTTCTGCTCCTCCCCCTCCTCCTCCTCCTCCTCCTCTCCTCCTCCTCTCTTCCTCCTCCTGCTCCTGCTCCTCCTCCTCCTCCTCCTCCTCCTCCTCCTCCTCCTCCTCCTCCTCTTGCTCCTCCTCCTCCTGCTCCTCCTCCTCCTGCTCCTCCTGCTCCTCCTGCTCCTCCTCCTCCTGTTCCTCCTGCTCCTCCTGCTCCTCCTCCTCCTCCTCCGCCTCCTCCTCCTGCTCCTTCTCCTCCTCATCCTCCTCCTTCTCCTCCTCCTCGCCGTGCCCCTCGCGCACCCCTCAGGACGTGAAGTCGTGGGGGGACGCCCTGACCTACATGGAGTACACCGTGGTGCCCCTGCTCTGGGTCGACGGCGACGGCGGTCCAGGCGGGGGCCGAAGGGGGAGGGAGGGAGGGCGGAAGGTCAGAGGCGACGATGGGGCGAATAGCCCAGGGGAGAGCAACAGATCGATGCAGGTGCGCCGTTGATCCATGTTTTCGAAAAGGCTCCCGGGTGAATGCGAGTAATGCCCGCCACTTGGCTCTTCGCCCCTATCGCCGCCGCCGAGAAGGGGACAGGTGCGGAGGGTGGGCGGGAGGGCGGAGGTGCGGAGGGTGGAGCCAAGGGGGGGAGGAGGGCGTGAGGCCCGGGCAGGGGGGGGTGGTAAATGCGTGGAGGGAGCGCCAGGGCGGACAGAACGATCGGGGGGGAAGGGGGGCAGGGGGGGGAGCGACGGGAAGGGGTGGAAGGGAGGGCGGAGGGGTCGGGAGAGGAGGGGAGGGTATTGGAGTGCTGGGGCAGGGCGGGATGGTGCGAGGGTGAGTGGGAAAGGAAAAGACGAGAGGGAGAAAGGAGGAGGAGGAGGAGGAGGAGGAGGAGGCGGAGGAGGAGGAGGAGGAGGAGGAGAGGATGAGTTGGAGAGGGAGAAGGAGGAGGAGGAAGAGGCGAGGAGGAGGCAGGAGGAGGGCTGCTTGGAGGAGAGAGGACTTGGAGTAGGAGGAGTAGGAGGAGGAGGAGGAGGAGGAGGATGAAGGAAGGAGTAGAGGAGGAGAGGAGGAGGAGGGAGGAGGAAGAGGAGGGCTAGGAGGAGGAGTTGGAGAGGGAGGAGGAGGGGGAAGAAGAGTTGGAGGAGGAGACGAGGACGGAGAGAGGAGGAGGAGGAGGAGGAGGAGGAGGAGAGGAGGAGGAGGAGGAGGGAGGAGGAGGAGGAGGAGGAGGAGAGGAGGAGGAGGAGGAGAGACGGAGGAGGAGGAAGGAGGAGGAGGAGGAGGAGGAGGAGGAGGGAGGAGGAGGAGGAGGAGGAGGAGGAGGATAATTGAGGCTTTGGGACGTTGTTGGCCCTTCTCAGGTCGCCCGAGTCCTGTGGCGGCCTGCAGAGGCATCTCGAGGATCTCCCAAGAGGTCTCCAGAGGCCCCCTGGGGACTCCCAGAGAACTCCAAAGGCCTCCTCCTTTTCCTCCTCCTCCTCCTCCTCCTCCTCCGTCCTCTCCTCTCCTCCTCCTCCTCCTCCTCCTCCTCCTCCTCCTCCCTCCCTCCTCCCCCTCCTCCTTTCTCCTCCTCCTTTTCTCCTCCTCTCCTCCTCCTCCTCCCCCTCTCCCCCTCCTCCCCCTCCTCCCTCCTCCTCCTCCTCCTCCTCCTCTCCTCCTCCTCCTCTCTCCTCCTCTTTCTTCCCTCCTCCTCCTCCTCCTCCTCCTCCTCCTCCTCCTCCTCCTCTGATGCTTCCACCTTGGACGCCTGAGCCCCGACGCGCCCCCTCGCGAGTGTGGTGGTGCCGATGTTTCCTTGCTCCGACTCATTCCCAGGATGGTCCTTGTCAGGATCGGTGCTCGTGCACCCCAGGCATCTGGCGTAGCGATGTCCTGCCCAAGGTGGACCCTCTCATGTCCACGACTCCGTGCTCTCTTCCTCCCGGCATGGGCCCCCCGACGTCTCGACCCCGCAGTCTCGACCTCCCAACGGGCCCGCTTCCCGCCCCGAGTCTTCTTTTATGGCGGCCTCCTGGGGCCCAGTCGAGGGCTCCAGCAGAGCGAAAACTGCCACCGGGCTTTCCGCTGGCTTTCCGCTCACGACGCCAGGGGCTCTGGAATCGGGGGTAAAAAGCCGCCTTCCGGACCCATCCTGGGGTGCGTTTGGACCAGAATGCCGGAGCGAGTCCAGCCGTGGCGACAAGAACGCCCCCGGAGGCCCAAGAAGCGCCAAAACGTGCAGCGCTTGTCCTCCTGGAACTTTGCCTCTCGAGACCTCGTCCCCTCCAACCCCCAAGCCCCGACCATCCATCCTGCCTCCCCCCTCCCCCGGGTTGCCCTGGCTGCCGCGCGGCTGGGCGGGCCGCGCGAAGCGCGCGGCGGCAGGCGCTGTGATGCTCGTGAACCAGCTCATCGGGGGCATCCGCCTGCAGCAGTGGCGGGGCGGGCCGAAGGTTCCCCCCCCCTGCGCAGGCGGGGGCGTTGGGCTGTTCCCACAGGCCTCGGGAGCAATTGGCGAGCACTCATGCCACATCCATCTGTCCATGCCCCCCCCCCAAGGATCCATGCCGGCGATGGATCGGATGAGTTGCACTTCGACCGCAGTCGTACCCGCGCGCGCCAACTTTGAGTTCTCGAGGGCGGGGGAGCGGCCACGAATCGTGTTTCCCTCGACCGTAAACCCCCGCCTGCCTTGCAGTGGAAGCATGGCCCGTCGAGACGGCGGCGGCCCTCTCTCTGGCACTCTCCGTTCTTTGGGCCTCTCCAGGAGGCGTTTCGCCGCCACGGCCGGATCCGCCTTGGAAGGGCGGGGCGAGGGTGGACCCCAGGAGGGGCTACGGGGACGGATTCGTAGCCGAGGATGGACCCCAGGATGGAGGGACGAGGATGGATAGCCTTGGAAGGAGGGGCGAGGATGGACCCCAGAGGGGCTACGGGGGCGGATTCGTGGCCGATTCGGACGGTGCGCGAAGGCTGCCGTGGTCTCAGCCGGCCCTCCTCCGATGCAAAGCCTCCACTCGTGAAGCGAAGCGCACACCCCGGCGAAGAGTGCACGCCTATTATAGTAGCCCGGCGGGAAAAGCACCCTCCCGACGGAAAGCGCAACCATACGGACGGAAAGCGCACCACGTCGACGGTGTCTTTGAGAGTTATCGCGTGTTTCTTTGAAGGTTTCGCCCCTGGCTCCTGTCCATGGCGTACCTTTTCCTGTGCAAGCTCTTCGGCACCGCCTGTACTCCGCACCCTCCAGCCGCCTGAGGCCCCGCCCGCCCGCGCCCTGTCTCCCCAATTAGTGCTTTGCGCGCCCCGCCTAGCTCTTAACCGGAAGAGGCCCGCTCTCGACCCGCCGACCAAAAAGTGTTTCTTTGAAGGCTTACAGGCTTGGTAGTGCAGTAGCGCGTGCATGGGGAAGCGACATGGGATGGCGCAGCCCATGGCGCGGGCTACGGTGCTTCCGATGGCGCACCTCATGGCTCACCGTACAGCGCACGTTGCGCAACCAATGATGCAAGTTGGGGTGCACTTATGATGTTGGTGACGTTCGTTGGCGCACATTCAGGCGCAACCAACAGACTCGTGGAGGCCTTGGTAGAGCGGTCTCGGTAGACCGTCGCATTGTTGTCTGAGTGCTAGATGCCATGGTTTGATCTGCTATTGCGAGTGGTAAAGTGGTTTGTTGGCGACATCTTGATATCAAGTGTGATCCTCCGCTTCTTCTCGAGCTCCTCCACCTCCTTTTTCACAGCTTCCTCCTCCGCCTCCTCCTCCTCTCGCTGGTCTGCCTCCTCATCACGATCCTCATCTTCATCCCTCCGCTTCTGCTCACTCTTCCTCTATCATCGCACTCCTACTCCGCCTCCCCATCTCCTCTCCCCTTGGCTCCTGGCTCACCTGCTGCCGCTGCCAGTCCTCACCCTCGCTGCTCTTCTTTTTCCCCTCCCTCATCCAACCCCTCTGCTCGCTTTCCATCTCGGGATCCTACTCCTCCCCCCGCCGCCGTTCCCCTCCTCCTCCTCCTCCTCCTCCTCCTCCTCCTTCTGATATTCTTCATGCCCCTTGCTCAGGCCACCCCTGCTCACCCCCAGTCCTCCATGCTGTCCTTCTTTTCCTCGTCCACTCCTCCCTCCACCGCCCCTTGTGCTCCCGTTGACTCCGGTGGCACGGTAGAGCTGTGTTCTTTCAAGCTCCAGGCAAGCAGGCAGAAGTGATGGCGGAGTGGCGCCGCTTCCTCCTCCTCCTTCTCCTCCTCCTCCTCCTTCTCCACCTCCTCTTCTGTTCTTTCTCAGTCCCTCCGCCTCGCTTGTGTCCTCCTTTCCGACCCCCGCCTGGCAGGCAGGCCAGAAACCGCCCCGACGTCGCGACACAGTCTGGCCGTCTGGCCCCCCGCTCCTCTTCCTCGTCCTCCGTCTCCTCCTCCCCTCCCTCCTCCTCCTCCTCCTCCTCCTCCTCCTCCTCCTCCTCCTCCTCCTCCTCATCATCATCATCATCCTCCTCCCCCTCCTCTCCCCCCTCCTCCTGATTCACGATTCCTAATGGCTTGGGAGTTCGTCTGGCGCGGCCCTCGGCCCTGGGGAGGTGATCAAACCAAGAACCATGCGACTCCTGGAGCGATCGCTCCAGGAGTCGCCAGCTGGGGTAGACAGAAGCAGATACAGGACAGCAGACGGTAGCAAGGAAAGGGGTAGGATATCGGTCATAACCTCGAAGGAAGGGGAAGGAGAGGACGTGGCGGCTGCGGCAAGCGACCTCCCTCGCCAGAGTGGAAGGCACAAGTGCCTTTTTTCCCCTGCTCGAATAGATGGAGCCCCCACAGGCGTCGCCCAGACCAGCGGCGGGAACCCTCGCCTGCAAGCAGGAGAACCATTCCCAGAACGTTGGCCAGGGGGGCCCGCCTGGGGGGTGGGGTACCGAGCGCGGGGGAGGTGTGAGCCTTCCCTGGCGGTGGCTTTCCCCTTGACGCTTCTCGCAGCTGTGCATCTTGAAGTTGCTAGGCGCCTGGAGCTGCTCCTGTTGCGACGCCTCTCGCAGCTGCGCGTCTTGAGGCAGCCGTGCGTCTTGAGACAGCTGCTCCCTCCTCCTCCTGATGCTCCTCCTCCTCCTCCTCCTCCTCCTCCTGCGTGCTCTCCCCGTCCCTCCGCGTCGCCTGCGTTTCACCCTTTGCCGCCCCGCTCGCGCAGGCAGGCGAGAGTCCGCCCCTCGGGCACAACCCAATATCTTCCCCACCCGCCCCTATTTCTCGTATTCCTTCTCCTCCTCCTCCTCCTCCTCCTCCTCCTCCTCTCCTCGTCCTCCTTTTCCTCCTCCTCCTCCTCCTCCTCCCTCCTCCTCCTCCCCTCCTCCTCCTCCTCCTCCTCCTCCTCCTCGTCCTCCGCCTCCTCCTCCTCATCCTTTCCCTCCTCCCCTCCTCCTCCTCCTCTTCCTCCTCCTCTTCTTCTCCTCCTCCCCCTCCTCCTCATCCTCCTCCTTCCTTCCTCCCACTCTTCCTCCTCCTCATCTTCCTCCTCCTCTGTCCCTCCTCCCTGTCCCTCCTCCTCCCACCTCCTCCTCCTCCTCCTCCTCCTCCTCCTCCTCCTCCTCCTCCTCCTCATCAGCATCAGCAGCAGCAGCAGCGCAGCAGCATCAGCAACACCAGCATCAGCATCAGCATCAGCAACATCATCATCAGCATCATCATCTTTATCAGCATCATCATCACCAGCCTCAGCATCATCATCACAATCACCATCACATCACCATCATCATCATCATCATCATCATCATCATCATCATCAGCATCAGCATCAGCATCAGCATCAGCAATCAGCATCATCATCATCATCATCATCATCATCATCATCATCATCATCCATCATCATCATCATCATCATCATCATCCCCCTCCTCCTCCTCCTCCTCCTCACTCCGTCCTCCTCCTCCTCCTCCTCCTCCTCCTCCTCCTCCTCCTCCTCTCCCATCCTCCTGCTCCTCCTCCCTCCTCCTCCTCCTCCTCCTCTACCCCTCATTCTCCTTTCCTTCCTCCTCCTCTCCCTCCTCATCCTCCTCCTCCACCTCCACGTCCACCTCCTCCTCCTCGCCTCCTCCTCCTCCTCCTCCTCCGCCTCCTCCTCCTCCTCCTCCTCCTCCTCCTCCTCCTCCTCCTCCTCCCGTCTCCTGATTCACGATTCCAGATTGCCGAAGATTTTGTCGTCGAATGTGGCCCAATCATCCCCCCGGGGGGCAGGCGTCTAGAGGCCGTCGACTGCGAGGGCTCCGAGGAGCTGCGGGGCACGTACGGCGCCATGGGGGGGGGGGGGGAGAGCGCCATGGAGGTTTGCGCCGCGGCGCTTGGAGGAGGAGGAGGAGGAGGAGGAGGAGGAGGAGGAGGAGGAGGCAGAGGAGGAGGAGGAGGAGGCGGAGGTGGAGGAGGAGGACGCAGATCTCCGACGGCATGGTTTGTTTCCCCATCCGCATCGGGGCCCAGGCAACATGAAGGAATGCTTCTGGTGCGAAAAACCAGCCCAGGAGAGGGGTCGGGTTTTCAGGGGGGGGAAAAAGATTCGAGGTTCGAGGTTCGGCGGCTCTCGGCGGCTTTCCTGCCTCGGGACGCCTTCCAGCGGCTGCGCCTCGCCGAGCGGCGCCGGGCAGCCCGGGGTGCCCAGGTCGTCGTCCGAGAGGCCGCTGGAGGCCACGGAGGAGCATTCCGCACATGCGGCGGGGGGTGTTTTTGCGTGGCGCCTGGCTCGCCACGCTTCGGCGCGACGCGCTCACTCCGCGTCCCGGGTTCCCTCGGTGCTCGTGTTGGGGACCTTCCTGGGGCCCACCTAACGGATCTGTTCGACTCAAGGTCGACTCGGGTTCGGCGCGGGTTCGACGCAGGTTCGGCGCAGGTTCGGCGCAGGTTCGGCGCAGCTTCCACGCAGCTTCGGCGCAGGTTCGGCGCAGCTCCGACGCAGCTTCGACGCAGCTCCGACGCACGAGTGGAGCGAGTGGCTCCAGGGAAGGTCTCCGGAGCGAGCATCTGCGGCCCTCCCCGGGCTGGGGGACCGCATGCGGCCCCCTACCCCTGCCTGCCCCACGATTTCTGAAGGGGAGGGTGGGGTATCACTTAGGTTGCGCCCGCCAGGTTTGGGCCTCAGGTCGTTTTCACTAAACCACGTTTTGCTAAAGCGGGATCTGTCCATCCCCGACTCACGCCCCATGAAGCGGAGCGACACGCCAGGGGGAGGATGGGGTTCACTTCGCTCTGGAGCTCCCGAAAGCAGTGAACCCCACCCTCCCCCTCGGAACTCGTGGGGCAGGCGGGGGTAGGGGGCCGCATGGGGGTGGGGCATCGCGTGTGGCCCCCCCCCGGGCGCCAGCGCCCCGAGCCTCTCCCCGGTTCCTCCCGCCCCCGAGGCGGGGGCGGAGCGCTGCCCGCTGGCAGGGCACGGCCGCTCGCCGCCCCCCGGGGCCGCGCTGAGCGCAGCTCCGAGCGGCGGTGGGCCCCCCTTCCCACAGCGAGGCCCGCACCTCTGCCGGGGGGCGGGGTGGGCGGCCCGGCCCCCCCTCGGCAAGGTGTAAGTCGGGCGTGTCCCCCCCTACAGGGGGACGTTCGACGAACAATAAGAGATACCCCAACAAAAGAAGTCCAACATATAGTCCAAAAATAGTCTGGGGACGATGTTTTTGTATGTTTGACCTTGTTGAGGCATTTTTAGGGGATTTGTTATTTTTCGTCGGAAGCCCCCCCTCTGCAAGGTGTATCGCCGATTCCGGTCAAGCAGTGGCGAAGCGTCCCGGCTCGCCTATAGCCCACCAAACAATGTTCTAAGAACTTTCTGTGGTTCCCACGAAATGCTCTCATAACACTTCTGGCTTGGATATTGTCTTGATTTAACACATCGGGTCTATGTTCTAAGAACATTCTTTTTGTTCCAAGAAAACTGCTGGGTTCTGCGAACACTTCGTGGTTGGACTATAGGAATGCCGGGACTGTCGGTCCCTGCTCAACTGCAAGGTGCGTCGCCGATTCCGGGTCGAAGTTTACGTGCGAGGGCGGCAGTCTAGGCCTCCTGGAGGGGGTCCGAGGCGATGGGGTCGGAGGATCGCGCCGCAGCGCCGAGGCGTTGCCGATGCGGCTCGATGTGGATCCCGCTTTGCTTCACGGCGACGCCGCGGAAGCATCGCCGGCGTCACTGGTGCATCGCCGATGCATCGCCGATGCATCGCCGATGTATCGCCGATGTATCGGCGATGCGGCGCGATCCCCCGACTCCATCTACTCCGACCCCTACCAAGGAGGCCTCTTGGCAAGTAAGAGGGCCACGGCGATTGCTATCAAGTGCTTCGTGTCGCCACGTGCAGCCCGAAGCCTGTCTCGATGAAGCCATGCTGACCTCCGCCGTGGGTCTGGCGGCGAGATCCCCCGTGCTAGAACTCGACAGCGGTGCGAGGATGCCCAAGCGCGCGAATGCTCTGGCCAGCGAGCCCCCGTGGCCCACTGCCCTCGCCGTGAATCGATTTCCGCGCAACGTGCTCCATGCCGCGCAGAGTCCATACAGTCGGGGCGTTGACCTAAGGAACCCTAAATAAGGAACGATGCCCCTAGATTCCATACGTAAAACTTCGATTGAGATCGAAAACCTAAGGAAAACCTAAGGCAAGCTGCGAAACAATTAAGAAACAGGAAGCCCCTCCCCAGTGAAAAGGGTTCCTTCTTCAGCGCCCCGACTGTAGTGCCTGTGTGTACGCTAGCCAGTGTGTGTGTGTGTGCGCCTGCGAGTGTGCGCCTGCGAGTGTGCGTGCGCGTGTGTGCGTGTGTGTGTGTGTGTGCGCTCATGAGGGGGCCTGCCGCGCGCGACCTTCGCCTCTCGCTCTAGGAGGCTCTACGCCCCGACGATGCACGCGAGGCCGCGCCGCGAAGTCAAAGTGTGTGTGTGTGTGTGTAAGTGTGTGTGTGTGTGTGTGTGTGTGTAAGTGTGTGTGTGTGTGCGTGCGTGCGTGCGTGCGTGCGTGCGTGCGTGCGTGCGCGTGTGTGTGTGCGCGCGTGTGTGTGTTGTGTGAATGTGTGTGTGTGTGTGTGTGCGTGCGTGCGTGCGTGCGTGCGTGCGTGCGTGGATGTTTGTTGATATTGGGTCAGTTGGGCCAGTCCTGGATGCGACCGCACGCGTCGCCTCACGAGGAGGCCAAGCTCGTGGCTGTGGAGCCCCGTGCCCTGGTTCGGATTCCGCCCTTCGCCAGAGGATGGCCACGCGCAGAGGGTGGCCGGGGGGAGGGGGGAGGGCGGCCTCTTAGAAGCGCCCCTACACCCTAGGCGATGCTTAAGAAAACCGAAGTTTTCGGCCAGAGTCTCGATTATTCTTAACGTTTCAACGTAAATCCTAAGATGTTAATAGAAATTTTGGTTTTTTAGTCAAGTTCTGAGACTATGAATTTCTGAACCCATGATTTCTTAAGCATTTCGCAGGGTGTACTTCTTAGAGGGCGCGGGCCTGGTCTGTATTCGATGTGAGGCCGGCGCCTTCTAAGAAGCGGCTTCCTTCTAAGAAGCCTTCCCCCCTCCCCCTTACCCCCTGTGTTAGCGCCGCCGACAGAGGGAAACTGTGTGTGCATGTTGTGTTGGTGCGGATGTTCAGCACAATTGAGGAACGCTCTTACCGCATCGGCAATCACAGTGCCCGAGTGTGAGTTTGCCCGTCTGTCAGCCAGGCCTCTAAGCCAGCTGTCCCCGATACAAGACAGCGGGAAGCTAGCTCACGTACCAGCTCGACGTTTGGTCTCCCGAGTCGACGGCATCGCGGGTGTTGGCTTGGGCGGTTATTGCTTCGCACTCAATGTCAAATCATGGGTACATAATGGCACCCGTCGGTCGCATGAAACGCGAAGGCTTGTGGTGCTGAGCGTGACACACTCACGAGGGGAAGGAGGAGTATAAGCGAAGCCCTGCGTGCTGGAGCACCTACGCGCAGGAGTGCGCTTCCTCCGCTATCTTTTGCCCGATGATCCTCCTTGTGATCTTTCTCTTCCTACCATGGCTTGTACTAGTTCTCCTTGTCATCCCTCTCCTCCTGGCCTGCCCCACCTCATCCTTCGACTGTCGGGAACTCTGCGCACCTCCACGCTTCGCTGTCATGATTGTCCCCCTCCCCTCCGAGGGCTGCCCGCCTAGTGAGGCGGAAGAGCGGGGGCGCGCAGGCGACTTCATCAGCAGCACGTACAACCGCAGCTGCAGGTCGAGAGAGTCTGTCTACGACACGGAGGGGGGCGGAGCTCCCACGCCGGTGGCGGCGGTGGGCACCGCACATGTCGCCGCGCAGTGTGTTCCAAGGCGCGGCCTTACGACTTGGGGGGTGTGCCTCGGGCCAGGGCAAACGCCGCCTCGGGCGCGGTTGGCTTTGACGCGGTGCCGGCTTCGGCTACTTGGGGTGTGAGGCGAAGGGCTTGCCGTGGGTTTGCCGTGGTGTCGGCGTCGTCCACTTGAGTGCGCTCAAGACAAGCGGCGCGGCGACAAATATGGAGAACAAGCTCTCGAGCAGAGAAACATACACCACGGCCACGATGACGACGGAGACGGAGACGATTCGCGATCTCGATCTACACCGAAACACGCATGAGGGGAAGGGCCTAGCTTGCCATCAGCTCGTCGGCATGCTTGGCACTTGCTCTCATGATTCGATCTAGAACTCGCCCATTTCTCTTGTTCTCCTCCTCCTTCTCTCCGTCCCACCCTTCTGTGGTCCTAGTCAATATCCCCCTCCTCCTCGTTTCTCCCTCCCGCCATTATCGCAATCCTCCTGGTCATGGCTGTTCTCTCGTCCCCTCGATGCTCTCCTCCTTGTTTCGCATCCTCGGGGATCGTCAAACATATGCTCTACGAGGACGGCGGCCATGACACGAAGGACATAAGCATGAAGTGGAGCGCTGCATGGGTGGAGGGCGGCACCATGAAGTATGAGGCGGAGGGGGAGCAGGTAAAGGATACCGCCGATAGATACATGGAGTTTTGGATAAAGAAGCGGAGCAACAATGACAATCGACATGAAGAAATCATCACATCAAGCGGAGGAGGGCGAGCACAATACCATAATGTTTGTGGGGGCGCTCTTCTGGCAGCGCTGCGCGGCGTAGAGACGCGGCAGGTACAGGAGAGACCATGAAATACAACGCACCATAACGAACACATTAGTCAGACGTCTCCTGATTCACACGTTCTTCATTTGAATGTCCGCAGCCTCATATCCGATGACCAAATTGCAGAGTTACTATTGGAGCTAAAGAATGTTCATTGGGATTTCGTGTGCTTGAACGAGACATGGTGGCCTGAAGCTAGAGAGTATGTTGTTTTGCATGCTGGTCACGCTTTTGCCGGATGCGGTTGGGACCAACAATCACGAGGCGTTGGCATTCTTATTCACCGCCGCTGGGTCCCGCACGTACGATCTTTTACAACAGTTTCTGAGAGAGCATGTTTTGTTGATTCGCAGTGTGGATCGTTGCGCATGCGGTTGGCGACTGCGTATTTCCCACACTCCAGTTATTGAGATACACGCGTGCAGAGTTTGCATCATCCTTTGTCGGAGGCTCACCGGGAAACGCATTGTAAGCGCTATCGTTTCGTGCTGATTGGCGAGTTCAACGCGGAAGCGGGTAGCAGAGAAGAGGGCGACGTACGACACACTATTGGTGCACACGGGCTCGCGAAGACCAATGCTAGAGGCCATTGGTTGGAAAATTGGGCGTGCATCGGACGTCTTAGTATCGCCGACACGCTTCTTTCTCCAAGAGACGGGAGTACATGGTGACGCATACAGGTACAAGTGGCAATACCTGACGTGTTGATTATACGTTGGTCGATGTGAAGTTGTTTACCGCACGTCGTGAACTCTTGCGCGAATTTCAACAGAACGTGGGCAGCGACCACAAACGCATTCTTACCAAACTGAGGTATACCATCAGGCCCCCGCGTGAGAGGAGGACGGCCACTAAGCATATCATGCGTTGGGCGTCCGTGGATGCGAGCGTTTACGCAGAGTCTCTCGACGAGCAGGCTCACAACTTCGAAGTCCCAGGTAATGCCGGCGCCGCTTGTCAGAACATGCAAGATTTAGTGTTGGAGTCTGCGCTGACTGCTGATTGCAAGCAAAGCCCCCGCGCCGTTTGCAGCGACAGTGAATCCAGATTACGGCGCTTTTTGGAGCAACGGGAAGCGTTACGACTGCACCAATTTTTGGACAGGACATCGTTGAGCAAACCGATATCGAGGGGAGTCTGGGCATTGCGACGAGAACGGGCCGCATTAAGTTTTAGTGCACTTTTGCATTCCTTTCGCGATTCCAACAAACTCCCTATTGTGAAGACAGTCGAGCGGAAGCAGCTTATCACGCATATGGTTGACGACGCTGGAGCCACACATACCGACGAGCAGTACATCACCAATGTGTTTGCTGATTTGTATTTGGATTTGTTCTCAATGTAAACGCCGAGCCAGCCAAGCATTCTGCTGCAACTATTCTTCTTGAGGACATCCCGGAGTTCTCGCTGGACGAGCGGAGGGCAGAAATCCGAAAGCTCCGGCGAGGCAAGAGCAAAGACGCGCGTGGAGTCATGGCGGGGATGATCGAGGACGGCGGCGAAGCAGTTGAAAGACTTTTGCTGCAGCTGTACGTCAGCATCGTATCGCCGAAAGGTCTGCAACCACAGACCTGGAATGAGTCTGTCGTCGTGGTTCTGTACAAGTTTGGCGTGTCCGCGAAAACCATGAATTACATGCCAATTACAATATTACTGGTTCTACACAAATTGTTTGCGAAGCTTGTGCGCTCAAGGCTGTGCCCCGTTCTGGACAAACACCAGTCCGCAGACCAAACTGAATTCAGAGTTGGCGTTGGCACGACTCATCATTTCTTCGCAGCGACAGCATTACAGGAAAATTGCTATGAGTGGCAGAAGCCTATGGAGATCTAACATCGACGACACAAAGGCTGTCGATTGCGTAGATCACGGGTGCTTGTGGCACGCGCTGACCCGGCAAGGTGTATCAGATGGATACGTTGGTTTGTTGCATTTGTTGTGTTCCGACCAATCTGCTAGAGCGAGAACTGACAAATTGAGTAAGCCATATCACATGTTGCGGGCCACGAAACAGGGAGACCTTGTGAGCAGCTTTCTTCCCAGTGCCATAATGGAAGACATGTTTGGCGACGTCATGACAACGTGGCTGGAGAAACGGTGGGGCCTCAAAGTCGGTGAGGTTTACCTGTGGCGACTCACAAACCTGCGTTTCGCTGATGATGTCATGCTTATTAATACTTCGCTCAATCAGATCTGGGGCGTGCTTGCGGACATTCACACGGCAGCTGGCAAGCGTGGATTGGAATTACATCCAGATAAACAAAGATTCTTCCGAACACTACCCGGGAGACGGGGCGCCCAAAGGAACAGAGTATCCATATTGGTGACATGTGCGTTGACGTCGTGTCTCGTGATTGTCACGTGAAGTATCGGGGCTGGAAGGTATGTTTCGACCGCCCGCACGAGACATAGCTTGACAACAGGACCGGCGCAGCTTGGAAAAGATCCGTAAGGTTTCGCCCCATGCCGCCGTGAAGCAGTGTCGGGACCTACGGATCTGCGTGAGAGGGGCGCCACCGAATATCAGAAATGTGGCAAATCCTTGTGTTTTTGGACCCTGGTGAGGGGTGCCATCGAATTTCAAAACTTGTGGCAAATCCGATGTGTTTTTGGACCCTGACCCCGCAGATCTTCGTGAGTGGTGCCAGCGAAGTTTACAAATGTTGAGAACTCCCTTAGTTTTCGGACCCTGACCCTTCGGATCTGCGTGAAGGTGTGCCAGCAAATCTCAAACGCGTGGCAAATCCCATATGTTTTCTGGACCCTGACCCCGCCGGTCTGCGTGAGGGGCGCCAGCACATTTGCAACATGTGGCAAATCCCTTGTGTTGTTGGACCCTGAACCCGCCGATCTGCGTGAGGGGTGCAGGCAAATTTCAAACATGTGGCAAATCCCTTGTGTTTTTGGACCCTGACCCCGCCGATCTGCGTGAGGGGTGCCACGGAATGTCAGAAGTGTAGCAAATTCCATGTGATTTTGGACCCTGGCCCTACGGATCTGCATGAGGGGTGCCAGCAAATGTCAGAAGTGTGGCAACTCCCATGTGTTTTTGGATCCTGACCCCTCCGATTTGCGTGAGGGGTGCCACCGGATTTCAGGAATGTGACACATCCCCTATGTTTTTGGACCCTGACCCCGCCGATCTGCGTGAGGGGTGCTAATTTTTACCCACCCCGACAATTCAGAGCACCTGTTCAGGGCGTGCTCATTGCGGGCTCTCGCACGTCCTCCTCCGAGGGAAGGCCGCGTGATCCGCCCCTGCGCAGGCCCTGGAAAAGCTTGCGATACGATGTCGAAGGGTTGTCGGGTCCTGTTGCATACTACTCACGCGCGGGAGCCTGTCGAGTCTCCACAGCTGAAGTTGGACGACCACCCCTTTATGCGGATCGCCTCGCGCCTCGCCTCCCCGGACACGTGTCCCAGAAAAGTGGTCGCCCCGCCGCGCGACGGGTTGCGCTTGGGAGGCGGTCGGAGGTAATGCAGTCATTCTTTTTTGGCGATGTTTCATAAGGAACTCTCTATCTATCCTCCGCCTCTTCTTCCTCCTCCTCGTCCTCCTCCTCCCCCACATCCTGCTCCTAGCTCTCCTCCTCACGTTCCTCTCGCTCGCTCTCTCTCTCTCTCTGTCTCTCTCTCTCTATTTATATTTCGCTCGTTCTTTCTCTTTATTTATTTATATATATATATATAGATATCGCCTTTCCCTGCACCTCGTCCTTCTCCATCTTTTCTCT